GCCATCTCCAGCCCTATTCATGCTGCCCCACCCGCCTATAACTTCAGGCCCCCAGCACCTCCGTGCGGAGCCGAATTTTATTAACTGCCAAACAGCCATAACAATTACTTATTCAGTGAGGAGGATCGATTTCGGTCTGGGCCAAAATTGTTTTTTACAAACTGCATTTTGTGCCAGAAGCGCCAAGTTGGCTCAGCATCCTCTAAGCCAGCGTTTGCTTCAGCTTGCCGCCTTTTCAGTTTTCGCTTAAAGGTATCTTTTAAATTCTTCCACTGTGTCCGCACGTCTTCCTCTGAAAACCACAGAATTCAATGTTTTTTTTTTTTTTTTGGCAAAAAGTGTTAATATACATTTTACACACAGAGAACTACTTGTTGTTTCATTTCTCATAAACAGTGCAAAATTCAATTCAATTTCTCAGACAACTGAATTGTTTTCAAAGGAATACGGCTTTTGCCACTACGTTTTGGATGCAAGGAATGAGGACAATTCAGAGAAAAGCAACACATTCATTCACTGATGCGTAGACTAAATATAAGATTATTTTGATATTATGTTTGCAAAACACATATTTTTCTTTAACGCAATAGAACTCGGAAAAATGCTATAACAGAAAAGGAAAGGACCTGGCATGCTATTATGCGAAATTCTTTGCAAATCGCAGTTTACAAAGCAACAAGGGAGCGGAAGCTAAATTTGCAAGTTTTTGACAGCTTGGAAAAATACAATTTGACGAGTGACGGTATTTTGATCGGATTATATAACGCTACTTAAGCATCAATTCGGGTTTTTTCTTCCACTCTCTAACTGGCCTCTTGTAAGTCTCACTCCTGGGAATTTTAGGTCCATGAAAACTGCCCAGGGCTTGAGCGAAATCGTACCAAAAAAGTATGATTTTTGCATGAATAAGCAGTTATGTGAAGAAAAAAAAACCTATCAAGCGAATGCGGAGATAGATGCCCGAGGAAAGGTCAAAATGTAAAGTCTATCGCACCCACACCGTCGGAAATCCTTGTCAAAAATACCGCAATCAGCTACCTTAGAGCTAACTTTCAGTACCGATCTCAATTACACCTAAAATTGTTCAGAGCTGGATTAGCCAATTTCCAAAAAAAAAATTGTTTAACTCAATTACCTAAAATGTAATATTTGCGAGCCTAATCAAGTAAGTTAGCCGAGTGCTTGGTAATCGCAGAGTACTCGATCCGTAACGCGAATATCCACAGCGAGAAAATTTTCTTTGAATTGCGTTCTGATAGCAGTTTTTCCCCCGCCTTTTACCGCTTCCTTCCCGGAATTTCGCCTCCCCCTCCTCTCTTACTACTTCTAAAAAAAAAACACAGAGCTCGCATCATCACTGATGTGGTTACCTCAAAATTGTCTTTTTACCAACATGAGCAGATTTTTCAAAAGTACAACTGGCATGTCACATATTTTATCAAAATCTCGAAGAAGGCTTGTCCGCCTAGGCAGAATTTTCGAAATTCTTGCCAACTGAAATTTTTCACCAACTAATGAATTTTCTTAACATTTAAAATCCTATCTTCTTAACCGATTTTTTTGCGAAGTTAAGTGCGACATATGTACACATATGCCCATATTTGTCTGTATGTGTACAGGGCCTTGTCGATATGCATTTTTGCATTTGCACTAATACAAACTAAACAAAAGAAGCATCGAACCTGTATAAATACCGGCCGTTGCTAGATTCGAAGCATTAAGTGCATCGGCTACCTCGGCAAACAGCTCCTTCTTCTTTTCTGAAGTGGCATAGCGCTCCTGCAATGCATTCAAAAAGAAATTTGCAGACACCCCACCATCGCACAACTCAACTGCATAGAGCTCTCAGGCCTTCTCAACTGAGAAACAGCAAAACCATTCAAAACTGCAGAGCACAGAATACAGTCTGTATCGTTGAGAAAAATTCCGTCACAAAGAGAAGCTACACTCGAACACACTCTAAAATCACTGGATCTAGACATTTTGTTCGACTATGTCTCACTGCATACATTATTGCTATTAACCTCCGGGCACCAGTGCTTCTCTTCGCTAATAATAAATTCTTGCTTCACAAACTAGACCTTTTTTTCAACGAACGACCAGTCACCAGAAATCATCCATTTTTATGCGTTTTTGCTGTGCAGCGCTATAGCAGCGCTATAGCGCTGCTATGGCCAGCAAAAACGCATGTCGTCGAGAGGCTGTGTGTGTGTGTGTGTGTGCGGAGAGCGAGTGCATTTTGTCACCCACTTTCATCTCAGCAACCAGGAAAGCTGGGAGGCTGAAACTTCGG